CTCCCTCCTCCCTCCTGCCTCCCTTCCTTCCTTCATTCTCCCTCCCTCCCTCAATCCCTCCCTCCCTCCTCCTTCCTTCCTTCATTCCTCCCTCCTCCCTTTCTTTCCCTCCCTCCCTCCCTTCCCTCCCTCCCTCCCTCCATCCTTCCTCCTTCCCTCTCTCCTCCTTCCCTCCCTCCCTCCGCTTCCTCCTTCCTCCTCCTCCCAGAAGCACCAGGGGGAAGTATATATCACCTGTAATTAGTATTCACCTCAGAGTCTTACCTGTGATCACCCAAGACTTCACCTGTTGACCCCTAAGTAGTGTGTTTAGTGAGTATCTGGTTCTCTAGTGTCCGGTATTTTGGTTTTCCGTTACTTTATGTCCGGTATTTTAGTGTCCGGTTCTCTGTTCATTTGGCCAATTTCGTTACTTTTGTTTTCGGTTAATTTTTCTCGTAAAATAAATGGGATATTTACTATGTATGTATGTATATATGTATGTATAGTATGTATGTATGTATGTATATATGTAACTAAGTATGTATGTAATTGCTTATATATGTTGTGTTATACAGTATATCGAACTTGTATATTTCCCGGTGTATATATCTGCTTCTATGTATGTATGTATGTATGTATGTATGTATGTATGTATGAATGTATGTATGTATATTGATCACTGTTAAGGAGATAAATATTGACTTCTCCATCAGGAACAATTGTCCCACTGAACGAGAAAACCGACTTTACCATCAAGGTTCATTAAGGCGAGAATTAGATGCGATTAGTTTAGTGTGGTCTCTCTCTTGCATATTAATTTGTTGATTATCTTAACGAGGGGAGGGAGTTGGTCTTGATCCACTGAGACCACCTGGAGGGACGGAGTTGATTACGTTAGGTACCTGTGAGTGAGTTACCTGTGGTTGAGTTACCTGTGGTTGAGTTACCTGTGGGTGAGTTACCTGTGGGTGAGTTACCTGTGGTTGAGTTACCTGTGGTTGAGTTATCTGTGGATGAGTTACTTGTGGGTGAGTTACCTGTGGGTGAGTTACCTGTGGTTGCGTTACCTGTGGGTGAGTTACCTGTGGGTGAGTTACCTGTGGGTCAGTTACCTGTGGGTGAGTTACCTGTGGTTGCGTTACCTGTGGGTGAGTTACCTGTGAGTTACCTGGGGTTATTTTACATTTGGTTGAGTTACCTGTGGGTGCGTTACCTGTGGTTGAGTTACCTGGGGTTGAGTTACCTGTGGTTGAGTTACCTGGGGTTGAGTTACCTGTGAGTGAGTTACCTGTGGTTGGGTTTTAATGTTTTTACGAGTCACTTACGCAGTTCAGTAAGTCGTAAGTGTGTTTGTGTAAATATGTTTGTATAAGTGTATTTGTTTTATTGTGTTTGTTTTGTTGTGTTGTTTGTGTAAGTGTGTTTGTGTAAGTGTGTTTGTGTAAGTGTGTTTGGTTTAGGCAGTCTAGGTTTGTTTCGCCAGCTGGTTACCGGCAACATTCAAGAAGCCGGAACCTGTCTGAGATGTGTGTGTGTGTGTGTGTGTGTGTGTGTACATTTGTTTGTGTGTGTGTAGACGTGTATAAATTTGTTTGTTTGTGTGTGTGTGCAGACGTGTATACATTTGTTTGTGTGTGTGTGTGTGTGTGTCTCTGTGTATATAAACATGTTTGCATTATTAAATCAGTTTGTTTACACACTGAAACACACTCGCCATAACCCCATAAATAAGCGCCACTGTGGGAAGGGATTCTAACCGTGGTACCAGCGTCTCAGGTCGGTAATAGACACAGCAGGGTAGCCACCTCACCGCCAGCTTAACGAGCGATAAACTCGTTGGTGGGGTCGTTAAGCTGATGGATTGATTATAAGCTCGTTAGCCCTGTGTGTGTGTGTGTGTGTGTGTGGTTTAACCCTCTATCTATCTATCTATCTATCTTCAGTAACCCACCCACACACACACACACACACACACACACACACACAGTTGTTCACTAAACTGTTCATAATAACTTCTTTGTGTTCTTCCATCGTGTTATGTTCTCCCCTATAAGTAAGTGTTAATCCTCAGCGGGGTTGTGTGGCTAATGGGATACTTGTGTGGCAAAAGGTGTAATGGTAGATGGTTATTTATGTACTGGGGGGAGCGGGTAATTACTGGGGGTGTTGGTTATATACTGGAGGAGGGAGCTGTTTGTGTGTTGGGGAAGAGGTGTTTGTGTGTTGGGGGAAGAGGGGTTTGTGTGTTGGGGAAAGAGGTGTTTGTGTGTTGGGGAAGGGTTTGTGTGTTGGGGAAGAGGGGTTTGTGTGTTTGGGAAGGGGTTTGTGTGTTGGCGGAAGAGGTGTTTGTGTGTTGGAGGAGGGGGAGGTGTTTGTGTGTTGGAGGCATTGGGTATGAACTTCACCTAACCTAACCTAGCATAACCTAACCTAACCTAACCTAGCATAACCTAACCTAACTTAGCATAACCTTTAACCTCCTTTAAACCCTGACCTCCACCAAGCCTCCTCCTAAACACCCTCAGACGTGACCTCCAGCACCCCGGCCTCTCACCTGCGAGTCACGAGATGACCATTTATCAAGGGCTTGTGTGTGTGTGTGTGTGTGTGTGTGTGTGTGCGTGCGTGCGTGTGTGTGTGTGTGTGAAGCAGGAGGAAGAGAAAGAAGATTATTATGAAGAAGAGAGGAAGAGGGAAAATGTGAAGAAGAGAATAAAGCAATCAAGGAAGAGGGAGGGAGGAAGAGGAGGTGTTGGAGGAAGAGGTAAAGAGGAAGAGGAAGAGGAGGAAGAAGAAGAGTAAGAACAGAAGAAGAGGAAGAAAGAACACAGAGGAAGAGTCATCAAGTGAGGCTAATGACAGATCTAGTGGTCTAATTCCTCAATGTCATCATAACCCAACCTGATGACTCTTACAACTCGGTAAAGAACTATTCCCTCAGCTCTAAAGTCTTCAAACTCACTCCCTACCTTTATCATAAGTGTCGATAATCCGGGCAGTTTCGATAATTCAGGAAGTGTCGTTAATTCGGACAGTTTCGATAATTCGGGAAGTGTCGTTAATTCGGGAAGTGTAGATAATTCGGACAGTTTCGATAATTCGGGAAGTGTCGTTAATTCGGACAGTTTCGATAATTCGGGAAGTGTCGTTAATTCGGACAGTTTCGATAATTCGGGAAGTGTCGTTAATTCGGGAAGTGTAGATAATTCGGACAGTTTCGATAATTCGGGAAGTGTGGTTAATTCGGGCAGTTTCGATAATTCTTGAAGTGTCGTTAATGCGACCAGTTTCGTTAATTTGGAATGTTTTAACAAATACGGTACATCAAGGGGCATGATCGACTAGTACCCACCAGTACCCACCACGACCCACCAGTGACCCACCAGTGACTATTACGACCCACCAATGACCCAGCATAACCAACCAGGACCCACACACACACATCAAGATATATCACCAATGAATTATCAACTAATGCCCCGGATAATGACTGAGCAGATGTTGTCATTTTATTGGAGAATCAATTAGCTGTGGTTAGTTAATTGACTTTTTGGAGCATGCATTAGCTTTCACCAGCTAATTCAATTTAATGTGTTAGCTTTAACAGATTAATGGATTTAATACATTAGCTTTACTGAACTAACTGGATTTAAAACATTTATGTACCAGGATTATGAGGATAAAACCCATTGGTTTTAAAAGGTCTCAGATTTTAGTGTAGGTCAGAAAACACAGCGAGTGTGTGTGTGTGTGTGTGTGTATACAGCACTGTTCACTCGAACTTTAGGGGTTCTTCTAACGTCATTGTGGCATCACGCAGGATGTTTTGACATCATCGTAACGTCAAGGGATCCTCTGTCGTCATCGTAACGTCACAGGGATCCTATGTCGTCATCGTAACGTCACAGGGATCCTCTGTCTTCATCGTAACGTCACAGGGATCCTCTGTCGTCATCGTAACGTCACAGGATCCTATGTCGTCATCGTAACGTCACAGGGATCCTATGTCGTCATCATAACATCACAAGGGATCCTCTGTCGTCATCGTAACGTCACAGGGATCCTATGTCGTCATCGTAACGTCACAGGGATCCTATGTCGTCATCGTAACGTCACAGGGATCCTCTGTCGTCATATAATGTCACAGGGATCCTCTGTCGTCATCAGTAACGTCACAGGGATCCTCTGTCGTCATATAACGTCACAGGGATCGTCGTCATATAACGTCACAGGATCCTCTGTCGTCATCGTAACGTCACAGGGATCCTCTGTCGTCATATAACGTCACAGGGATCCTCTGTCGTCATCGTAACGTCACAGGGATCCTCTGTCGTCATATAACGTCACAGGATCCTCTGTCGTCATATAACGTCACAGGTCCTCTGTCGTCATTGTAACGTCACAGGGATGCTCTGTCGTCATCGTAACGTCACATGAGGTTCCTCTAACAACTCCCCCTAGGACAGGAGGGAACATTAAACATATTCATGTTTTTGTGTTTTACATTTTGTCAATGTCAATGAAAATAAATGTTGTTTTACCTAATTTAGTTTCATCTCATGCATCAGTTGTTTAGAGCTAATTGATTTTCTCTCAATATATATATTTTTGGACAAATTGTGTTATTTCTGATGTGTTAGAAATATATGCTAATTGTGACCACTATGCTACACTACACTACACTACACTACACTACACTACACTACACTACACTACACTACACTACACTACACTACACTACACTACATTACACTACACTACACATTCCTCGTGGGTCAACAGGACCCTGACTTGCTCTTTTAGTAGTGCGGAAGTGACCATTTCTTTCTCTCTCTCTCTCTCTCTCTCTCTCTCTCTAGAAAATGGCTGTTAATGTCTCTTCCACCTAGAAAATCCAATAAATGACCATGCTGATAATTGAACTGTAGTGAATGTATTAATTGTTAAGATGTAAACAAAAACATTTTTCCATGTAATTTTTTTGTTTTAATTATTATTATTTTTGTTTATCTTTCCAGCGAAACCAACCGGCTGGACACGGGCCTGTTGGCGGAGGTGTGGGACAAGGGTGTTATATGGGACAAGGCCTTGGGATACCTGTGGCTGCCCCTCACCAACATCCAGTACTCCAACGAGGTGAGGAGAGTGAGGTGGGGAGGGGTGTGAGGGAGGGAGAGGGAGGGTGTGAGGGAGGGAGAGGGTATGGGGGTGGCTCCTATCCCACCTTTACCACACACACACCCAACACACACACACACACACACACACACACACACACACACACACACACACACACACAGGAAGGAAGAAATCTGGAAACTATACTGTGTTTTGTATGTGGGGACCTTGGAGGCTACCTGAATTTTTTATTAACCTATGACCTTTTGTAGCCATGTACTAGGTCAGACAGACAGACAGAATAACTAAACAGAAAGAGAATATCTATCTATCTGTTTCTTTTTGTTATGTCTGTTTATCTATCTATATGTCTGACTGTCTGTCTGTCTGCATGTATGACTGTCTTTCTATCTGTCTATCTATATGTCTGCATGCCTGTCTATTTATATGTCTGCATGCCTGTCTATCTATCTACAATTAATGTTGTCTAAGTTAATGTTATATTTATATAATTTTATCTATATTTATCATATTAGTTTAAATTATATAAGACATCAGCTGTTATACACAGGAGATAATGTCTTTATATAATTTATATATATAATTTAACTATAATTATTGTTTGTTATTATTTACCGAACAGATTCCCATTATTATTGAGGTCAGTTCAGTGGTGACGTGTATTTTGTATTTTTGGTATTTTGTATTTTTGGTATTTTGGTAGTTTTGTAGTTTTGGTATTTTGTATTTTTGGTATTTTTTATTTTATTTTATATATTTTTTTTTTTATTTATTTATTTATTTTTTTTTTTATTTTTTTTTTATTTTTATTTTTTTTTGGTTTGATGGTAATTATAGTACAGCTTATTTACTCATATCAACAGTATATTACAGTATCTTTATATCTACTGTATTCCTTAGGCTTATGTAGTGTACTGTCGTATTATATGTAGTGCTGTAGTGCTGTGATATTTAACCGGTTATTACACAATGAATCACACAGGTAATATTTTTTTTTCCCTTTTTCTCGTCATTTAGGGATTTTTTTTAGCGTCGTGGTGTTGTGGGGAGAATTTTAATAATTTACTATATTTTGACCAGTAGTGTATTAATTTTACTTAATTATGTAATGAGTAGTGAAATAATTAATTAATTTTGCGGTGGATTATATCAGTTATCTAATATATTGTCTTATGTAGATAAATATATTGTAGTTTGAGGTATTTTATGTAGTGAAATACAGTAGGTTAATATTAAAGTGTATCTTATGTAATGAAGTTTATTTTTTGAAATGTTTTATGTAAGGAAATGTTGTATATATTTTGTATTTTAATGTAGTTTAAGGAAGTCTTGAGAATTTTATGTAATGGAGCAGTGTTAACAGTGACAGGGCAGTGTTAACAGTGACGGGATAGTGTTAACAGTGACGGGATAGTGTTAACAGTGACGGGATAGTGTTAACAGTGACGGGGTAGTGTTAACAGTGACGGGATAGTGTTAACAGTGACGGGGTAGTGTTAACAGTGACGGGATAGTGTTAACAGTGACAGGGCAGTGTTAACAGTGACGGGATAGTGTTAACAGTGACGGGATAGTGTTAACAGTGACGGGATAGTGTTAACAGTGACGGGGTAGTGTTAACAGTGACGGGATAGTGTTAACAGTGACGGGGTAGTGTTAACAGTGACGGGATAGTGTTAACAGTGACGGGATAGTGTTAACAGTGACGGGGTAGTGTTAACAGTGACGGGGTAATGTTAACAGTGACGGGATAGTGTTAACAGTGACGGGATAGTGTTAACAGTGACGGGGTAGTGTTAACAGTGACGGGGTAGTGTTAACAGTGACGGGATAGTGTTAACAGTGACGGGGTAGTGTTAACAGTGACGGGATAGTGTTAACAGTGACGGGGTAGTGTTAACAGTGACGGGATAGTGTTAACGATGACGGGATAGTGTTAACGATGACGGGATAGTGTTAGCAGTGACGGGATAGTGTTAACAGTGACGGGATAGTGTTAACAGTGACGGGATAGTGTTAACGGTGACGGTAGTGTTAACAGTATCGGGGAGTAGTGTTAACAGTGACGGGGTAATGTTAACGGTGACGGGATAGTGTTAACAGTGACGGGATGGTGTTAACAGTGACGAGGTAGTGTTAACAGTATCGGGGTGTAGTGTTAACAGTGACGGGGTAGTGTTAACATTGACGGGGGTAGTCCATTAACAGTGACGGGATGAGTGTTAACATTGACGTGGAACTGTTAACGGTGACGGATAGTGTTAACAGTGACGGGATAGTGTTAACAGTGACGGGGGTAGTGTTAGCGGTGTCAGGGCTAACGGTAACACGTCCCCAACGGTGACGGGGCCGCAACGGTAACATCCCAACAGTGACGGGGGCCACCAACGGTATATAACGGTGACGGGGCCTGTACGGTGGCATGCCTAACAGTGACGGGGCCACCAACAGTGCCCTTCCCCCTCTCCCCCAGCAGTATATAAACTAACTAATGGTGGTGTTGCAGGAGGGAGAAGGCCGCTGGTATGATCTGGACGCCGAGAGATTGATGGAGAATGGAGAGGTCAAAGGTACTGCTAATCCAACTGGTGATTCCGTACTGCTGGACTGCCGCTTCGAGTTACCGTGGGGTATGTAACTCTTAACTAATCCTCTATGTTATCTATTTTTTTTAATTTCTTTCTTTTTATGCTATTTTCAGGGAGTTTGCATGAATTTAGGTACTCCTTATATCAATCTTGTAGTTTTATTGTTATTTATGCCATTCTTGTGTGTGGTAATGAGTTGTTTGTGTGTTTTTAGAAGTTTGTTGATGAGTTATGTAGTATTGGAGTATTTATGGGTGGTTTTATTATGGTGTTGTGGTTGATTTGTTATTTTATTCGATTTGTTGTTTTTTTTTTGGTGGGTATAATTATTTTTTTTTTTCGTGTGTTTTTTATTGTTTGTAATTTGTGGGTTGTAGTGAATTTTTTATAGTGTGTGTGTGTGTGTGTGTGTGTGTGTGTGTGTGTGTGTGTGTGTGTGTGAATATATCATACCTACAATATTTAGTTTGGTTTAAGTCAATGAGTGAAATGTTTTTACTGATTCAATAGTGATGTGAGGGCCTTTTGCTGTGTTGTGTCTTCAGATATGAGTGTGAATATATGTCCAGTGTCATTAACTAGTTCCAAGTGTATATATCAACTGTACTTTTCAGCCTCAGGTAAATAATTCAAGAAGAAAACGGTATAATCTTAAATAATTCAAGTATAATTATATAACGTATCGTCTTAGTAAATTGAGTCATACATCAGTACGTACATTCTTCTTCATTAATTAATTTACAGGTGAATATACAGGTAAACTCATTAAGTAAACTCTAATTAAACCTGTTATTGTTTTACCTGGTGGTTCTTGTTCCATTATTTGTTTACCTTAGTTGTTCAGGGAGATATATTAGGTATATTGTCCCATTCAATGACATATTAAGTACAGGTATATTGTCCCATTCAAAGATTAAGCACAGGTATATTGTCTCATTAATGATCAATTAGGCCTATACTGTACAGGTGTCATTAAGAAATAAATTATGCCTATGTATCATTAACTCACTGTGGTCATGCCGTAAGTACACTACATCATACTAACTGTTAAATCACATTATGTTAACTAAATGACTCATCCCCATAAACGTTTTCATTAACAAATACGTAAACTAACATAAATTACCCACTTTCTTTATTAACCTTTGACCTTATGGGAATTATAAACAGGCACTGTGTTATTCCTCTAATTCTAATTATATAAAAATCTTTCAAAATACAGAGAATGTATTTAATTAATTTTTTTCAATGTTAAATAATAATAAATGTCATATATTAGCCGTGATGTTTACATATAAATTGGTATATATTTTTTGGTATATTGAATTTTATTTATCGGTGTTTACTGTTTAGTATAAAAATTCCGTATATCTAATGGGGGTAATTTTTTGTTTGTTTGTGTGTGTGTGTGTGTGTGAAAAGTAAACAACTGGTGAAATTATATAGAAACTGAATGAAAGACAAAATAAGTGAGATTCCCCTTCGTCTCCTCTTGTTTTTCCTTCATTACATCTGTTTATTATTAATCTCCCATAACTCTACACCATTTGTACAGTTCACTTTTAAACTCCCTTCAGCACTACCAAACTAAGCAGTGTACTATACCCCTTCAGAAACTCTCAAGTGTTAAAAAGTTTTGAAAAGTTTTGAAGGGTCAGTAAGAAATGTCTGTCGAGGGAGAACTGCCTAGAATTTGTGTTGGTAACTAAATCATATTCAGGTATTGGTAAAGAATTCAGGTAATTGGAGCACTTGAACATTAGGCACCCCAGTTTATTTTACCCGATCATTAAATGGTTACAGTAGCATAACGTAGCCTATCCTAACCTAACCTAACCTTACCCAGCCTAACCTAACCTAACCTAACCTTACCCAGCCTAACCTAACCTAACCTAACCTAACCTAACCTATCCTAACTAATAACTTTATAAATTATTACAAAAAAAGGTGTGAATTCAGGCCACCCTCATACACTAACTCCTGTATAGAACACTGCTAAGTTATCCCTTTAGTTCTGGTCTAATTCTTATAGTTTAAACCTTTAATAAAACACTAATAGAAACTAATAGTATAAATAATTCATAATTAGTAACTTTCTCTCCATCATTAAGAGGAGAAATTATCACAAACTTTCAGTATTTTTCAGTATTTTATTAAATTTTCTTAGCATGATTTGTAACCTTTTCACATGTTGCATCGTCATGACCTTAATTGTCCCCTCACCCACCTGTCCCCCTACCCCCTCACCTGCCCCCTCCACCACCTCACCTTCCCCAACCCCACCACCCCCTCACCTTCCCCACCCTCACCCCACACCTCTTAATGACGATGGTATGTGTTTCAGGAAATGTGTCTAAATATATTGTGTTCCTGTGTCTTTATAATGCTCTGTGACACACCTCTATTTTACAGGTTAATTACAGGTACGTTAGTTTTTTTTATGGAATTTACGATTTTGCGTCTCGTTAATGAGTTTTTTTGTGTTTATTAATGCTAGTGTGTGTGTGTGTGTGTGTGTGTGTGTGTGTGTGTGTGTGTGAACAAAGACTATCAAATGAAGAATAAATTAACTTCCTCAAATCAAACTTCACATTTTTATTCTATTCACCAGATCACAAGTGTCGGAAATAAGAGACAAATCCAGAAATTATTTATTCTTAATTTATTCACTTTATTTATAAACTAGAGATATTTATAATATTTATTTTTTTAACATAAATTTTTAACTTTATGTCAACTTAGTCTGAACTCTGGGAAGTGGTTGTTGTTGTTTTGGTCTCAGAGTGAAAATGGTGATGATGAGAATGTGTCTGTCTGTCTGTCTGTCTGTCTGTCTGTCTGTCTGTCTGTCTGTCTATCTGTCTGTCTGTCTGTCTGTGTGTGTGTCTGTCTGTGTGTGTGTCTATCTGTCTGTCTGTCTGTGTGTGTCTATCTGTCTGTCTGTCTGTGTGTCTGTCTGGCTGTCTGTCTGTGTGTCTATCTGTCTGTCTGTCTGTCTGTGTGTCTGTCTGTGTGCTCTGTCTGTCTGTCTGTCTGTCTGTCTGTCTGTCTATCTATCTATCTATCTGTCTGTCTGTCTGTCTGTCTGTCTGTCTGTGTGTCTGTGTGTCTATCTGTCTGTGTGTCTGTCTATCTGTCTGTGCGTCTATCTGTCTGTGTGTCTGTGTGTGTGTCTGTGTGTCTGTCTGTCTGTGTGTGTGTCTGTGTGGTGATACAGACACTCATCTAACTCACTGTGTGTTGGTAAGGTTATAGTGTGATGAGTTATGACCTTTTAAGACTCACACTCTGTTAGGCATCAGTCCTTATGTAAACAAACAGGTAAATAACAACAAGAAATGAATGAGTGTGGCTGGGTGTGTGGTTGGGTGTGTGGCTGTGTGTGGCTGGGTGTGTGGGTGGGTGTGTGGGTGGGTGTGTGTGGCTGGGTGTGTGGTTGGGTGTGTGGGTGGGTGTGTGGTGGTGGCTGGGTGTGTGGCTGGGTGTGTGGCTGGTGTGTGTGTGTGTGTGGGTGTGTGGGTGTGGCTGGGTGTGGCTGGGTGTGTGTGGCTGGGTGTGTGGTGGGTGTGGTGTGTGGGTGTGGGTTGGGGTGTGGTGGTGTGTGGTGTGGTGGTTGGGTGTGTGTGGCTGGGTGTGGCTGGGTGTTGTGGTGGTGTGTGTGTGGGTGTGTGGTGGGTGTGGTGGCTGGGTGTGTGGCTGGGTGTTGTGTGGGTGTGTGGCTGGGTGTTGTGGTGGTGTGGGGTGGTGTGGTGTGGGTTGGGTGTGTGGGTGTGTGGTGTGGGTGTGTGTGGTGTGTGTGGTGGTGTGTGTGGGTGTGGTTGGGTGTGTGGCTGGTGTGTGTGGGTGGGTGGGTGGGTGGGTGGGTGTGTGTGTGGTGTGTGGCTGGGTGTGTTGTGGTGTGTGTTGGGTGTGTGGTTGGGTGTGGTGGTGTGTTGTGGGTGTGTGGCTGGGTGTGTTGTGGTGTGTTGTGGGTGTGTGGTTGGTGTGTGGGTGGGTGTGTGGCTGGGTGGGTGGCTGGGTGTGTTGTGGGTGTGGCTGGGTGTTGTGGTGGTGTGTTGTGGGTGTGGCTGGGTGTGGCTGGGTGTGTTGTGGTGTTGCTGGGTGTGTGGCTGGTGTGTTGTGGGTGTGGCTGGGTGTGTTGTGGGTGTGGCTGGTGTGTGGTGTGGGTGTGGGTGTGGTTGGGTGTGTGGCTGGGTGTGTGGTGGGTGTGGCTGGGTGTGTGTGGGTGTTGTGGGTGTGGCTGGGTGTGTGTTGGGGTGTGTGGGTGTTGTGGTGGTGTGTCAGGTGTGGCTGGGTGTGTGGCTGGGTGTGTGGCTGGGTGTGTTGTGGGTGTGGCTGGGTGTGTTGTGGGTGTGGCTGGGTGTTGTGGTGGTGTGTTGTGGGTGTGGCTGGGTGTGTGGCTGGGTGTGTTGTGGGTGTGGCTGGGTGTGTTGTGGGTGTGGCTGGGTGTGTGGCTGGCTGGGTGTGTTGTGGGTGTGCTGGGGTGTGTGGTTGGGTGTGGTGGTGTGGTGTTGTGGGTGTGGTTGTGGTGGGTGTGGCTGGGTGTGGTGTGTGTGGTGGTGTGGCTGGGTGTGGCTGGGTGTGGCTGGGTGTGTGGCTGGGTGGCTGGGTGTGTGTGGCTGGGTGTTGTGGTGGTGGTGTGTGTGTGGTTGGGTGTTGTGGCTGGGTGTGGCTGGGTGTGTGGCTGTGTGGCTGGGTGTGTTGTGGGTGTGGCTGGGTGTGTGGCTGGGTGTGTTGTGGGTGTGGCTGGGTGTTGTGGTGGTGTGTTGTGGGTGTGGCTGGGTGTGTGGTTGGGTGTTGTGACTGGGTGTGTAGTTGGGTGTGTGGCTGGGTGTGGTTGGGTGTTGTGGCTGGGTGTGGTTGGGTGTTGTGGCTGGGTGTTGTGCCTGGGTGTGGCTGGGTGTGGCTAGGTGTGTTCTCAGAGCTACACATCACCTCACGGGCGAAGTGTATGGTCTAGGGTCTAACCTGTCTTCTGCCTCATTAAGCTGCATTAATTGGATGATAAGATAATTAGTTAAAATTATATTATATATATTATATCTCATATATTTTAATTATTTCCTATGATATTTCCTGTGAAGTTATGACATTGTGTTTGATAAAACTTGGTAGAATTGTATCAATATTGAGCTTCCGTAATTGGTGCTCCTTATTATGTGATTAGCAACCAATTAGTAAGCAATTAGGATGTTGTTTATTATGTAAATTGGTTTTATAAGGTATGTTGAGCCTAATGTGATTGTTTCCTCTGGCACATGATCCCGTGGGAACACCCTGGTGGCTCATAGTCATCACATCTACTCTTTCCTGTTGGTGATCAAGTGTTGTAACAGACAGCATGCAGAAGCGTCCATAAGACTTACCTTACTGTTGCTGTCATCATATAAGACCTTATTATGCATGCTAACAACACTTATCACGATACAGTACATTGATAGAGAGAAACACTCTTAATGTACAGTACAGGACACTATTACAGTATATCCTTCACTTTATATCAGTAGGCTCTTATGGTGTCAAGAGGAACAAAGAGTCAGTCAACTCACAGAGACTATTGCATGTTCAGAATCTAAATGCTTTGTTTCCTTACCAGGCAAAAAGGCCAAAGAAAGGGCAAGGAAGAAAGGTACAGTACTGCTTCTTATAGAACATAAACTGCAGGCTTTTGTATGTCATCTGCATCAACACCTCCTCTCTAGATGTTTATATAGTTGTAATGCCAAACATGTTATGATTGCAACATGAGCGTAAACATACAAAATACCTTCACATCCCCTACCACCATCATATGATACACTATATAAATATTATATATACTGTACAGTGCATATATATATTATATATATATATGTATATATGATTTATTTTATTTATAGACACATGTATACTGTATCTAGCCACTATGACGTTGAGTAATGTATAGTATTTTGTATGTTACGCCTGCACTTGTTATTGCCAGACTTGGCATCTTTACATTACACATGTTGGGAGGAGAAACACACTAGTCACCCGTGGCCTGCTGCATGAGTATGATTTTATTTACAAATCATTCTGCAACTTTCAAATATATACAAACATGGAAATTTCTATTGTAGGGCCTCCCACTAGCCTAGATGTTGTTGTGAGTGAGCTGGCCACGTGTCTGACCTGCTCACCACAGGGAGGGACCCGCTCATCCTCCCAGCATGTCCGGCAACTTGCATTCGCCTTTTCAATTTCTCTCAAGGTTCATTAATATTGTCACCTTTGGTCTCATAGCCTTGTGACTCATCTTGTTGTGTATAAACCAGGATAGGTTTTTATATATACTCACTTGTTTGTATTAGAATATTTTTAGATTTTCATGAGAACATATTTTTTTTAACATATTTTTGGGTACACCATTATGGTAGTAAAAATCAAAGTTACTTAATCCCTAGATGACTGTATGTGTTAGTGACCAAACTCCCCCTAAAAAGGTGAATGTAAAGTTAATCCCCTTCAGTATAAGAATAAATATTACAAACACAAGTTACCATATTTTGAGAGCTGTGGCCGGTGATGACACACTACTGCATCCGCTACTCTGCCCGGATATTTGCCTTAAGTGGAAAGTGGCCTTGTGTGCACTCAGCCTCTGTATATTGTAACGAACATCACCACCGGGTTATAAAGAGGACCCTCCACCACCTAATAGACTAGTACTGTACACGCCTGCTCGATTCTACGATGCTGCATAAGCCTCAGAGAGTGTGGAAGTTTCAAGCACCGCAAGGATTGTTTTAAAAGCTGGTTAGAGTAAATAACACTACCAGTAGATGATATTAGCAAGCCCCCCCCCCTCACCCCTCTCTCCTTCCCGTTTATCCAGTCCTTATTTTTTACAACCAGTATTGACCCCCCCACGCCCCCACTCCCCCCACTCCCCCCACTCCCCCTACTTACTACTTTACACACCTACTTTTGTCCTCGGTATCAATTCCCTATACTTTGGTTGCCTTTGCTCTATGCTCTTTCATCTATGTCTTTCTTTCAGTATATGTTATCTCCCACTTTTATCCATATTTATCTTGGAAGAAAAGATGTTTATCGTGCATGTCACACTCTCAAACCTACAGCCAAGAGGTAGTGTGGGATATATCTCTCTCTGTCTCTAGCCAGTAGGGAGGAGGTTTACTGCACAAAGGGCCTCTTTTATTCTCAAGATTATGCATGTCCACTTTGTCTGGGCACTTATCCTTTATCCACTTATTGGGCATCGTTCCTCCCAGCTTAAGCATGGCTCCACATACCCCATGCATCCTTAGGCATAGTTTTAAAGAATATACCTCTAGTCCCAATAGCTATACCTGTACTAGTATCCTATGGCATTTTGGTGTAGTGTTTATTATAGGAAGGTGAATTATTTTCTATCCCTATACGTTGATACTTATAGTCTGTCCTGGTGTTTTGATGTAGATAGAGTCATTGGTGATGTCGGGGAGGTGAAGTGAAGTATACAGTTAAACTTCCATCTAACGGACTATGTGGGAGAGGACAGTTCGTTATGTCAAAGTCCATTAGATATGACACTTCCATCTAACGGACTATGTGGGAGAGGACAGTTCGTTATATCAAAGTCCATTAGATATGACACTTCCATCTAACGGACTATGTGGGAGAGGACAGTTCGTTATGTCAAAGTTCATTAGATATGACACTTCCATCTAACGGATTATATAGTAATGGATAATCCGTTATATCGAGGGTTGCTAGATATCAAACCTCCAGTTAACTCACTATATGGGAGAGGGTATTCCGTTATATGGAGGCTTCACTGTGAGAACTAATTAGATGCTGTACCTGAGGATTCTAAATAAGTTTCCACCTGTTATTGCTGCTGGTGCTAGTGACGGTGTGAGGGTGGTGGCAGTCCTGGGGGTGTTTTTACCAATATACTGTGGACTATATAAATTCCAAAAGGTCTTGCTATATTCCAGCTATACACTATAGTTTATCTCTGCTATATATTTTTTTTTTACACATTTTAGAGTTAGTTGTTATTTTAGTATTGTGTTTCATATGGTATATTTTTTTTTAGGTAAATGTTAATCTAGTTTTACATTCACTAATCATGCGTCTCATTTCATCGTGCGTGTTGTGATTTTTTTTTAATTCAGTATAAAACAATTTCTGCTTTGATAAGAAACCTACTAAGTACAGCATCTATTTAACATCCAGAAGTTATGATATATATAAAAAAAAATTCAATTTGTTAAGCTAAGATTTTGTTAGTTGTGTGTGTATATCCTATAGTGAGCACAGGCACATGGCCACCAAAAAACTCTGAGCACATTAGTTTTATCCACCACGTAATTATTTCCCTGTGAGTGTTTTAAAGTACATCATGTTAGAGATGATACACGGCCACGCTGTCATTACACTTACCCTCCTCGATCACACTCAAGTCAATATAATCATGTTGGCTTTGATACCACGTCCGATGAGTAATATTTCCTCTCAACCATATTTTTAATTTCAAACTTCAATAATAATGTTACCCAGTAATATATTATACTATTTTTAAACACTACATACTCAAGAGAATTTAAACATATATTATAGAGAATTGGATCCCATGATTGTATTGACTTGAGAAGATCTTTATTGAAACAGCATCTGAGTCTACCCCCTCCCCCCCTCCCCCCAAGGCCAAGTTTAGCAGTGGTGGTGTTTTTGGACTTTATTTTAAGCCTAAGTATGTATATTAGTATATTATTTCTCCTCTGTCTCACTTTAAGACTTTATTAGACCTAAATGAATGGTAATTAGTGTGATTTATAAGACTAACATTCATTCCAGTCTGAAGATATTGCCATGTAAACAAGGCCGTATCGCTGTACACTCTAGTTGTTCCATAAATTAGCCCCCAGACCACTGCACTAAATAATAATATATTAAGTGGACACAAACTTGAAAACAAAGCTTCATTAACACGTATTATGTATATATATCGTGAAGTATTATAGAGCAGCATTATTAAAGACCAGTGTTTATAAGCCTCCGTAGCTTTTGTTCAGTGTAGCGTCCCTTCACTTGATCTGCAATCATTATTCCTCCTTTTATTTTATCCTTTATGCTACAAGACTGAGTTCGTAGGTACAGTAGAGTACAGTAACAGCTCCCTAGGGTTACAGTAGTTGTAGTACATGTAACTTAGGGTGTAGAGAGTTGTTTGTTAAACCTTTAAGAAAAACAGTCTGGAAGGAGCACGTTCTCAACCATACCCAAGGTGGATGACAGCATTCCCGTAGAGCTTTAAGCGAATATAGCATCACTGGCTTTAAGAGTTAAGCCAGCATAATCTGACTCACAAATGAAGATGTTAGGGCCATGGCTAACACCTTTTTTTGATATCATTAACCATGAAGCCATTGTATGTAACTTTAGCCATATGAAGAGTCAAGGCCCACGCTTAATGTCTTCATCAGCTGTAGTTCTTCCCTCCTTCCCCACAACGCACACAGACTACGCTTAAACGCTTACTGTGTAGACCAGTTTTAGCTGCTTGTTCCTATCCCTTAGTGCAGTAGATGCTGATAATTACAGATTCTTGGTAACTCGTGGTGATAATTGCACCAAGATCACCAGTGGTTCACAATCACCCATCATGATAACAAAAGCCATTATCACCGTCTCATTGTTAGCGGTGTGTTGTGAACTACCCGGTCGTCTCAGGTACATTATAATTCATGGTAACTTAAGGACTGTAATTATCCTTTGCTCATGACCGTCACGTTAATAGTGTGGTTGAATGTGGTCAGTGATAATATCTGGTCCTTTAACTGGTCCTTAATTCGGTCATTAACTAGTCATTAACTGTAACTGACTGGCTTCTAGGGTGCATTAACTGATGGTCTTTTGATTATAATATTTACAGTCAATCATGGTAACTGTTGGATCACGATACATGGTAACTGACCTCCTCATTATACTCACCAGACCACAGTCAAGCATTATTAGTTCACATACATTAATCATACTTGTACAATTGCTTAGATAATTTATTAAACCTTAACTCGTAAATATATATTAGACCAATAAACTAACTTAACCACATTTTACCACTATTATACTGTAACTGTTCATGCCTAGACCCAGGTTATATTAATCATGGAACAATTCATAAAAAAAAAAAAATTATAAACCATTACCCATGATTATCAATAATTACCTAAACACAATAATTATAATACTGGACCAAATTAATCATTGCTGAGTCAGAATTAATTAGTGTTGTTGTTGATGTTGTACCAAAGATCATGTGAGTGTTTTTATTGTCAGTAATTTGTCTTAACATTTCCCTACTGTTGTCGTACTTGTCATTGGTCCATGAGTATCGCCAATTCACTCAATCTGTGATAGTTATTTACTGTATTATGGCCAGTGTTAGAAAAATTACCACGAACGATTCGATTACACCATATTTGTCATTTGAAAGCAGAGTGACACTAGCCTAACCTAACCTAGCCTAGCATAGCCTACTCTAACCTAACCAAACCAAACCTAGTAACCTAAGTGAAGTAATGGTTTGGTTAAGTTAGGTTTGGTTACTTTGTGTCACTTGAAGAAGAGTCAAATGATGGTGTTGTAGCCTTGTTTATCTGT